AGTAACCTTCCCAACACTGCATACAGTTCATACACCATGCCAACACATCTTGCGAGGGCTAACTACAATTCAGCACTCTAACTTTTTATCCAAATATGCTCACTTGTGGCTAGATAAAATTTAAAAAAAGAACAAAATTGTGAAGCTAAATTTAAGAATTCAATTTGCTAAAAACTATTTGGTGCCATCTTTTATTTACAGTCTATTGTTTTAGGGGGGGTTAGCCTGTGTATTGAATTATTAAACACTGTGGTATATAAAGATGTGCACAACTATGCCGTTACTTTAGCAAAATTGTGTTCATCTATAATTATGAGATCATCAGATCAGCTATGACAAATGCAGAAATTCTTTTATCTCTGTGTAGACACCAACACCACCTCTGGAAAACATCAAATAGCTTCAATGAAAACCATGAACAAAATGATACATGTATGAAAAGGGCCACATTTTTAACAATTGGTGAAGTGTCAAAAAAGGAAATCTACACTCCTCCCTACACATAGTTTAGATAAGGAGGGCCAAACAAACTTTGACTGTTATCATATTTGAAATAAATCGTGGAAAATCAGATATGTTCGTCCATAAACTGACTGGCAAAACAAGTGACCGCAAGGACAAACTGAAGGACAGCCAAGGAGAGGGTGGTGACAAGTAGAGAGCACAAACAGCTTGGCAGCAAAATGCAGCCATTACATTACAACAGATCACATTAACTTTTGTGGGTGGCCTCGTGCCAAATGAGACACAAACCGAATCACTGCAACATCTCTGGTTTATCCATCCAGGTTGAAGGCATTGTTACATTTTGTAACCATTCTGTCTTTCATGCTTCTATTCTGTAAACTGCAATAAAGGCAAACTGCTCAAAAGCTTCATTTAAATGATGCTGTCAAATATTGAAACAACAGCAAAGGACCATGAGAACTGTAACAAGAAGCAACAACCCTGACATTATACACTTTACTTGTTCAGACTTCATTACCAAACAAAGGTTAAAAAGACCACAGATTTAAGAAAACGGGGTTCCAGTAAGTGTTCATGATACGAAAGTGTAAATAGGAGGCTGATGGCTCGTGATGAGTCAGGATCGTGCCGTCGTTCGGCATTGGTCAGCAATAGCTTTTTACACAATCAGCCAGAAAAGCGCAACAGTTTACAACAGAGCTGCGAGACATTTGAAGCAAACCTCTTGGTGAGGATCAGAAAGAGCAACGCTTTTGTTCAAGTTAAACTTACCTGGTGGGGGTTGCTGTGGTTGCTGATGTGAGGGACGCCGTCTGACAGCCCATTCTGCACTCCAAACTCGGAATTATTCAACTGCTGAAAGACAGCGTTACGTTGAAATCGTGTTTCTGTTTGAGATGAGGGGCATTTGTCAAAATATGTGTAGACTGAGATCTGATTTCAAACCTGCATAGATGATTGGTGGTTTCTCACATTCATGTCAAAAAAGCTTTTGCTAGACCTCACAGGTGACGAGCTCCAACTAATCTACAACGGCAGAGCAAAGCCAGGTCAGGTTCACAATTAATGGGGGGATCGAGTCGTAGCTGCCAAATGACCTCAAAAATAATCTTTATGAGCAAAGAGGAAACAAAATAAATGACCAGAGGCATTAGGTACTCACTGGTTGTAAATTACTGTCATCATCTTCATTGTCGCTTAAATCATAGCCCATTTGAGACCCTTTGGTTTTCTTTAAACCTAACTTGCGACTGTATGTGTAGTGAGGTCTAGGCCGGCCTGGCGGAAGTGGGCCATCTGGTCCGTAGTCACCTTGTCCCATCTGGAAGGGCAGCAAATGCCTCTGCCAGGTAGAAGCAGAGGAATTTACTTAAATAAATACTGGAAGAATCAGTGTCATTGAAAAACTATTTAACAAAATTGCATCTGTCAGAGTCTTACCATTGCCTGCCTCTGACACTGCCGTAAGCGACATTTCTGCCTTTTCTTGTTACTGCCCCCAAACTTGGGCTTGTCTATACAGAAATCACACGTGCCACAGTCTTTCCTGCAGAGACAGGCTTTGCATTCTCCACAGGAACGTCGCTTCCGCTTTTTGTGCCACTGAAAACAAGAAAATTCACACAATTGGGTCAAAATAACAAGACAACAGTGAAGAAATTACTAATAGAGACACACTTTTATCAAAGATATGCGACAAGTAAGGGCTACCATGGGCAAAAGGTGTCTTAGGAATTACACAACTTCTATTTCCACGATAAATTTCCAAAATGTAAAACTGTGTCATCCTGGTTAAATCATTCTGGTTAATTAACTGGTTGAATAAAGAGAAAGTTAAAGACAAAAAAAATGTGCAGTCGACTCCAACAGTCTTTAACGGACTAGTGCTGAGGTGTCTAAAGGGTACAGGGGAGATTGTCTATATGGGAGAAAAGTTATTGTTTGCAATCAGCCTGAATGAAACAGCAATCCCACTGATGTGAAACAATGTGGAGGCTGTAACTTTCCTATAATTAATAAACAGCACAAAAATGTCTTTGTGTTTTCCCATATTGGCTTTCCATTCTTTGGGGTTCGGCTGGTGCTTCTTCTTCTGCAGTAGTTTAATGACACCAGTCTGCAGAATTGGTGCCCCCAACTGTTGATCACAATCTACCTAAAGCCTAATATTTTTATAGCAGTTGTAAATAATGTTTGCATTTATTTACACATTCTGGAAATATTGCTAAAAGTTGTACTAAACGTGGATGGAAACTTGGCCAATGAGTACAAAAGTTTTCTCTTTTTTGAAATGGAACTGAAGGCAAAGGAAGGAGGGCGGGAAAAAGAAAAGGCTTCAAGGACAAGAGGGAAGGAGTGGGGGCAGAATGAGACAAGTTAGTTAAGGAAACTATGGTTGGTTTATGGTTCATGTTGTGAATAATAATAATAATAATGATAATAAAGGTGAATACATTTTATTCCTAAAATGTATTCACCTCTCTCCCACCCATCACAGCCTGAGAGGAGTCCTCACATGAGCTGGAAGTTGTTGCATGTATTGTTAAGAAGTGTCCCTTTTTTAACATGAAACGTTGTTACATTGCAGTTCATATAAAACCAGCATGAACAGAACTGTAACACTAACGAACTTTCACTCAACTCAACTCGAAGTTGCTGTTGTGAAATGCTGCAAAAATTCAAGGTGCTGGAAACATTCCTCAGAGATTTTGGTCCACATCGACATGATCTAGTCACACAGTTGCTGCATCTCACCACATCTCACAGGAGCCCTATCTGGATGTCATTTGGGTAAAGTACACTCAAGAAACCAGTTTCAGATGATATGAGCTTTGTGACATTATCCAGTCAGCAACAACACTTACAATGATGTTTAAATGGTGTTCAGTTGGTACTAAGAGGCCTAGAGTGTGCTCTGAAAATATTCCCCATAACACTATAACACCACCACCAACCTGAACCGTTGATACAAGGCAGGATGGATCCATGCTTTCATGCTGTTTAAGGCAAATTCTGACCCTACTGTGTGAATGTTGTAGCAGGTATCATGACTCACTGGGGAGCCTCAGTTCCATGTTCATGTTCTGAGAGGAGAGGCATGCAGTGCGGTCTTATGTTGCTGTAGGCCATCGGCTTCAAGGATTGATGTGCTGTGGGATCCTTTTCTGAATACCTTGGTTGTCACAAGTGGTCATCTGAGTTACTGTTCCCACTGTGCAGACTAGGGCTGCCATAAATGATTATTTTAATAGTCGACTAGTCACCGATTATTTTTGCGATTAGTCGACTAATCAGATCATCATCCATTGGACGTAAAACGTACAGCTTATTGCACCAGCATGCATCTGAACTTATATAACTATCATTAGCTTAAAGCTTGAAGTGTTTAAGGTATGTGCTAACCAAAAATAAAGATAAGATGATAGTTTATTAAACTTTTAATGAAATTTGCA